AAACAAATAATCACGGAATCACGATAGCACAATACGACCAAACAATACAAAACAATGCCAAACAATACAGAATCACATTCGACAGTTACAATAAAATGAAAACGATTGATGCGAAATGAATCATTCCGACGACAACTCGGCTAATGAAAATACATCAGAAACAGAAACACAAAACACTCGATCAGGTATGAAGAAAGGCACATTTCATTTGAACGATACTCATAGCAGAATGCTGAACAACAAAACAAAACAAATAAATTAGAGAATAACGTCAATGTATAATTAACGAGACAGACTTTGATAATTTCATTGAATGCATGCATCACATCAAATTTAATAATCAAATGTCATGAGGACACGCTTAGAGCACAAATTGGTGAACTGATCACCGAGTTAAAACGAGCAACGAACTGCGTTCGCAATAAACAAATACTTTCAGCAAGAGTGCACTTGCTAATCCACCTGAAAGCAGAACTGATAACTGAATAATCGTTATGAGTACGTTACAATCAACGCTCAACACCAATGCTTTCCGCTAATGCTCATTCAAATCGTCCACTTACCAAAATACAACAATAAATAAACGCAAAATATAATAGTGACACAGCAATAAGAATGCAACAACAAGTAGTACAAAATCTTAAATAATAATAATAAAAATCTTTAAAAGATTCATGACTTTAGACATTTCTTCGATAAACACGGAGTTGAAAGAAACACAGAAAAGAAAACCATCTACAACCTCTAAAGCATTAAAGTTATAGCAATAACTACATGATAAGGCATTGATCATTTTCAATATCGATCTCATTTTGGAGAGGATGATCATGATGAACCCTATTCATATTCATATAAGTATCACTTGGTTTATTCAGATTCAAACTCAGATCAGAGTATTCGTTGATACTGTTGATATTGCTGTTGCTGTTTGGTATTGGTGGATTGAATGATCTCTTCACTAAGTTTCGTTCTGCTTCACTTTTCACAATATTCCTGCCTGTCCTCGCACTTTTACTTAATGATACTGGTATCGCTATTTCAGAAGTGACCGTTGACGATCCCAGTCCTGAAATTGCCTCTTGTATTTGTATTTTTGATAACAGNAACAACAACAACAATAATAATAACAACAGGACGGATGAAAGGCACCCACCAGAATCTGTTTGATCATCCATCACACTACCATTCATAAGTGGAATGTGCGGATTATTGGATGTGTCATGAACAAAGTCAAGTTGATTCGCACTCGTCATGCGATCAGAAGTTGGATTTCGAGATTCGACGTTGGCATTAACATGTTTATGCGATTGATTGGAGGTTTGAATTGATTTCAACGAATCTTGATTCTTATTATTATCGCAAGCGATCAGTAACGATTTTGTTGTAGTGGTTGGCGGCGAAGAGATAAGTTGCAGAGAGAGCAATTGAAGATGCTTTTCGAATGCGTAGATCAATGTACGATAACCAAAGCTAAACGTTTACATATCAACGTCGTTATTGCATTGCACTGCACCGCACTTCAGATTATGAACAGACATTTAATATTGAAACAATTATTAGCAAAATGCAAAATGCTGCATTTCTTTCAATGAAATTGATTGCACAAGGATGAATATTTCCAGCTCACGAACTACTCACGAGCAGTTCACTCATCACGAAAAAATAAGCGATAAGCCATCAGAACATCACACCATTATCACAATCGAATGCTATCAAAGTAAAACAAACGAATTCTTGAACAACAAAATTACGAACCAGCTTGATTCGGCCCATTGCGCTAATTGCTCAGTTGCAAGCTTCAAACGATCCACATTGACCTCACCACATTTATTGACAATAAATTCGATCGTCACATGTTTCGTTAGGAAAGTAAAATCTCGACGTAATAAACACAACTGAAATCAATACATTTACCTAAGTTGGACGCTAGACATCGAATAAAACTCAACAGCACACTCAAGTCGATCCATGTTCAGTGATAGTATCGATCATATTTTATCAGAACAATAATTATTCGCTTATCAAAACCGAAGATTTCATACGAATAAATTCAACGATAAGCTAACCAAAAGTGTCCAATCAATGCACCCAGCTTGATACATCAGATCGAGCATGAACTTCAATTCGACTTCACTCTCCTGCGTCCCTCTCGCAGCTGCCTCACCACATATTCGTTCAAGACCTTTAAACATCTGCTTAAAAACTATACCTTCAGCTGGTCGGTTCAATTCACAATAACTCATTAAAAACAAACCTTCCCAGTCACTACCCGAATTGGAAACAGTATCAAATGAACGGGAATCTGGTGATGAGGGTCGTAAATGCTCTTCTGCATCATTACCATTGGGACGAATCACAACTAAAGAAATGTGAACAATAAACGATAAGTGAATTCGCTTCTTGCATTGCTACATAAACGGTGAACATAGCTAACCGTAAATTACATTAACTGCAAAAGATGCGTGTACGAATTATTGGAAAATGTTGTTCTAACACCAAATATTTACATATCAAAAGTTGACGTTCGAACGAAAATTTGAAAGAATAAACAATCAAACAAAAACTAATCAAAAAATGACTTTGATTCGTGCTATCCGATGACTCAACATTATCAGCAGTCGTATGCTTATGCCAGTTTGCACTTCGACCGTTGGAGAACGATGAGGATGATGTGATGAATTTATTGCTACCATTAGCACTGTGACTGTTACTGCTTTTTGCTTCGTTCTCATCAACGATGCTTTCATATCCAGATCCATAGCCATTTCTGGGCAACGAAAAATGCTTCTCGGTTTGCGGTGACGATAACCTACTGATTGTGGTCGACGACGCTACAATTGAGCATTATTACTGGCTGATTGGTATGACTAAGAGCGACATCTTCATTGATATCTAACGACAATCAATTAGTTGTTTTGGTTGAACAATACACGGAAATTTCACCTCAAGACGTTTTGCCTAAGGACAGTTTGCCTATCAGGTAAAATATCCATTAAAAAACCGCCCGTTAGGCAATGTGTCTTTAGACAAACTGTTGTCGTTAGGCAAAACGTTTTCAGGCAAATTGTCCAGTGACGGCTTGTTTTACAGATGGTTGTAAGAACAAGTGAAATGTACCTAATGATCACGCTACAATGAAATTCATCAAGACTGATAATAAACGAACGAACATTGCAAACTGGCCAGTGAAGCACAACTCTGCGAAGAGCGCATCATCTCGATTCGTTTCGTCAACTGATCAACAACACTTTGACTCACCAACGGATACGGCCATTTGAATTGTGCATGCAAACGCATCAATGCCAAGCCATAATCTTCGATTCTGATCAGTTTTGTATTTCTCACATCACACAACCACGACAATAAATCAAAATCCAAATATGCTGCGAATGCACCTAAATTCACACAGATCGAATGTCATTCACCACTCAACACAAGAACATATTCCCTCAAATGATAGATAGAGCATTAAAAAAGAAGTTAGCACATACCAAGATCACGAATACTATAGTCTTCAAGTAAATGTTTAGCGTGACGATTAAGAATTTGGTCGAGACGATTATGCATAGAGGTTGTGTTCGAACAGATAGCATTTGGTGACGATTCGTTTCTTGAAACAACTGAAGTCGACGAAGAAGCACCAGTATTTGCGTTATTGACTGTGACTGATTCACTGTATGATGTTGATGATAGCCGGGTTCGATTTATTACTCCTTCAATACATTACATAAGTAAATTAAGGTAATTTATAGGTATGTGAGTGAACTGATAATGATGTTGAGTCGAAAATAAACCTGCGGGAGAATAGGTGTAAAGAAAAGAATCTGCTTGATCATTGTCATTTGATGACGAAACGACAGTTGATCGTCTCGATGTTGAAGAGGTGGCATTCGCATTGCCAACGTTTTGATGCGATGATGATGAATGTTTCTGAGATTGCGATGTGGACGTCCTGGGCGAAGACAATCCAGTAGCAGCAGCAGCAGCAGCAGAAGAAGATGAAGAAGAACTGATATTGGTAGTCGCATTTGGAACAGAACTTGAGAATGAAGGTGATGTGGAATAGTCAATATCTGATGGATGGATAGCACGTAAAAATCTTATTATATCACGTGCGATTAACCACTGTCGTTTCATCAACGCTTCTTCCAGTAATACTGATGCATGCTGAAAGCAGTCGAATGTGATTAGTAGAACGGTTTGCCACTTCAACATAGACATGAGAGCAAACGTGAGAATAGAGCCACCTCCCGACTTGCCGCACTACTCTCCATATTCTGCAAAACGATGAGGAAACTGGCCGCAGTTTCAAGTTGTTCCTCACGAATACACATTTCGAACAGTTCTTTCGGATGCGATGTCACAGCGAATAATGCTGGCCATAATGCCAGCTCTGTTTTGCGAGCGCAATGTGCTACCGTTTGCAGAAACAATGAGAATTCTCGTATGAATGCCACCACTCGAGGCAATAAAGGATCTGTAAACGAACACCGATCACATTCATTAGCGCCAACAGAATTTGAAGTGAGTCTGGATGACGATGAAAAGTCTGCATCATAAAACTTACAGAAACATGTTCTTCTCGCCCTTCAACTCGAAGCCCTAACAGCACTCGGAGAACGTNTGAATCACACATTGAAAACAACCTGGAATCGGCTCAGATGAAGTGGCCTCTAGTTCAAGAACACTGTGCAAAAGCAATTCGAGAACATGCCCGAAATATGCCAGATGAGTGCATGTTGCCGCTATCTCCAGTGCGTATACACCCAAATTTCTTTTCAATAACTGCCTTAATAAATGATGCAAAAAGACCTAAAATACTCTGTTTCACTTACGATTACGAGTGGATTTAATACACCAATTCATTTTGCTATAGGAAAAACATTTCCATATTGAGATTAAAATGCAAATATTGTTTTCATGATTCTGGAAATAATTTCATTTGTCATACATTAAGACGGCGATAAGAGCGAAGACAACAAGAACAACGATAATAGGTAAAGACAAATCGACCTCACTATTTCGGTGTAAGTTGTATAAAGGACGAGTGGACGAATCACTGTTACCAGGAAATGTAGGTGAGCTCTCGACACCCAACGCTAAACAGTTACGGCTGCAGATCACTGTAATTTACGACTGATAGTGAATGTTGATGTGAAGAATGCACGTTTATGATGGATCTCGGGAAGAATCGAATGTGTTCTATTCAATGATGAATATCAACAAAATATCTCACTTCTGACCACCTATCAATACTCAAAACGAGATGCATAGAACAATACCATTGACAATGCAAGAAATTAAACACAACCTATCGGGTAAATATCCAGATGGAACGGCAACATGATACGCTTATTTATGAATGAGTTTCCACCAACTACGCTATTGCGACGTGCTCCTTCCAATAATAATGGCATCCATACCTAATCAATTTTATAAATATGACAAATATAACAGTAGTATATGACATCAGCAACAACAACATCAAACTATATCAATGACACTCGAAACAATAATGAACTAACCCTCATTCCTTTAACACCGCAACAAATCCAAAGCGCCTGCGTTAAGTGAGGTTTGCAATGTGAATCGGAAGAGCGCCTTTCAGAGAGATGATACCAAATATGCTCCACATAAGACGCTATCAGCATTGGTTGATTCAACTGAAGTTTATGTTTATTCAATATCACTCTATTGTAACAGCCTTTCGACCGCCCCAACCAACTAACTACCTGGAAGTTATCGTCTGCTTCGTCGTCACTTTCAGATGGATTCATGACCTCTCTTTTGATTGGACTCAGCATAATCAATCGACCCGACACGTTTATCAACACCGTATCTACCGATTCACAGAACGTCGCTGCACCTTCATCTTTAATCATTACTCAGTCTTAATCTCTTTCATATCACACACCACTTCGTTTTCACTTAATTCCGTTTTTGTATTGCTCACTTCAATTGAATATGGTCGTTTGTTTCACAATAATTACGAAAACAAGAATACGGCGTAATGGAAACGTCACTGAATTATGATAGAAATTGAGTTGTGATAATAACAGATCAAAGAAACACAATATCAAATATAAAAGAATACCAGTATGGTGATTCAGTGAAGTGATTTGAATAGAAACGACGCATGCTGGATGAGGTACTAGGTCATTCACTCGAATTTCAGCACATCTCAAAACTGATCATGTTACGAATGCAAAGCACAGAGGTGGATGAATAAGTGGATAAATTATTCAGGCAATCAAACAGGATGCCTTCCAAAACAATCGACTAAATAGCAACCTTTCGACAAGCACTTGATCGCACAGCTGATTTCGCGTTGGTGGTTTCAAATGCAGAGAATAGATAAAGATACGTGCATCCAAGTCGAACGTTATCACCTTATCATCTCTGCAACACATACATACATACACTTGTGACTGAATCAAGAACGAGTCAAACGACATCGACAACTCAACGCAATCAACCACCTCTCACTGAACATCAGTACTCGTGAATCAGTCTCGTGTCTACTACAAAACTGGTTGTCGAGCTGTCGATCCAACGGATAGAATCGCAACTGTTCACAGTCTCGATCCAGATCGTAACAAGCAACCATCACAAAACCTCTCCATATCGCCAATCCACCAGTCACAAGCATATCTCTTTCCTGCAACTTCTCTTTCTACAATACCTCCACTTATACTATGGATAACTACTATCCGAACAGATGAAACATTATCGTACAATATTATGATACAAACGGCTACTCTGAACAGTCATATATTCAGTCGATCAAGCGGAGTGTATTTTAGACCTTATTTTGAGTCCCTCTTCTCGAAATCATTGGGCAATACGAGATAGGAACTCCGCACCTCTGTGTTCACCAAATCAGTTCTCGAAATTACAATTTTATGAAGACTGATAATTCCCTACGTTAATATCGTAGGCTGCGCGGAAGAAAGGATATCAGAGAACGAGGAATGTAATATCTGTGGTATTGGTGATAGGAGAGAGGCATAAACTCTTAATGATCTGATTAAATGAATAAAATACGACACAAAACTAAATCGACACTCACCTGACTTTCGTTGCCAAACAATCTCCATTTTCCAGTGGTCGTACTGCAATAGACAAATCCACGAGTACCTGCCGCAACGATCCACTTCACATTCTCACCATCCACAGTTGCTATCTGAATATAACTGGATGATGCGATGGCAAGTCATCGTATTCAACTGAATCTATAATAGAATGTCTTTCGCATCCAATATCACCGTGATATCAACTCACTCGTATCGGCCAATTCATCGACAAATATTCGTTGGGTATTGAAAATATATTCCAGACACTATGAGGTGCACACGCCGATTGTTCTTTCTCTTTGGCAGGGCTCAACAACACTCGATTCGACGACAACAGTACGACACTCTCCGAATTCTCCTTCAATTTCATTCATGACGCATGCATAATAACAATAATACTGCACACGCGAAATATATACCATGTTAGGATTGCAGATTGAAATGCATCGTGCTAAGGATAGAATCGAGAGTGTCGAATCCGATGCTAACCACAGACTGAAACCTTCAGGACCCCACTCAACCCATCGATATGCAGTATTCACATCTCGCACAGTGCTACAAATTGAACATAACTGACGCACTGTAAGCGTAAGCGATAGACGTATATAAATGTAAACGAACTGTAAATTGTCAATGTGTTAATCTATCGAATGAAAGTTGACTGATGGATAGACGACGCTATTAATGAAAAGATACTATTTGTGAGATGCAATAGAAACCGGTTATACCGATCAGATGACGATTCCAATGAGCACCACAACTGTGCTCCGAATGGACTAAAGATGGCCAGTATAGGTGGTATGGTTGTGGTGGTGTTAGGGATATTTGTGCTACCACTCTGATGCGAACTCACTGACGACCAAACGACAGCGAATGCAGATCCCTGTGTGAAACAGTCGATGTGACTCACACTCCCGACACGATTCAATATCTCTGCAATGCATCATTCATTACAACACATAGTTTATAGGTAGAATCTGTTAACGAAATCATTCGGAACGAAATATTCATAATGAAATACGATTGAATGTTATCACCAGGTCCATCCTTAACAAGCAGACTTGTTCGATAGGCGAGTGTAAGCGATCCATTGGAATCGTCCAAATGATAAGAAGCGATATCACCACTGCAATTCAATCTATACATTGTAGCTGATATTCAACAGATAGAGTGAATTATTTCCTTTTAGTAGAACTTTTAAAGTAGGAGCACATGATACAGCACATAACCGATCTCATTGTGAAATCGGATGAAGAGTGGAATCGTCCTACTAAATCCAGCGAAATGAAGTGGTCACTACATGAACGCTTCAAGCAACTGTGTGTCGACAAGTGACTATTCCAAGACACACACTTATATCCAACCCTTTCTACTGCATCAATTTCTTCTCCTCTGATTGAATTTGCATTCCCCTCATTTCCCAGAGAACATTTCTGCATTGGTCACTGCATAATGTCTGTACTTGAAACGCTAGTAACTATCAAATGTAAGATAATGATAACAACCCACTTTTGACAGCCGAAAATAATGAGTCGAAATTTATGGTTGACTGATAGACAAACAGCATCGTTCATTTGCAATGCCCATACAGCTAAAAGCTGCTGAAACAAGAACGCATAATGAGTACATTGTTGATTCGGTTTAGTATCACAACAATCACAACAACAATAACAACGGCAATGATTATGACGACCTTAGGATGAAATCTTGGACTCGGTGATGTCAACAATGCAGCTTTACCATTTGAAAGCACCACACAAAAGCCACCAATTAAAGGTGCATAAGCCACGTCAACCACATGCACCGACCGATCGTGAATGAACTCTGCTGAAACAAACTATACATTACATCAACTGGACATCAACTATCAAATAATGTAAGCAAGCGGCTATTGGTATAAATAATACACAAACGAACGAACGAACGTTTCGACTGCAACTGATCGACGGCAAATGGCAACTGAGTTAAATGAAGAGACAAGTCGTGATGCACAGCACCATCCCACAATATCCGATGTATCCATCCATCACGTAAACACACGAACAACTCATCACGCATCGGTACAACACTGCAATAAGGCACTTAGTTCATCATTCAGCAGCAGCAGCAGCAGCATCTCATCAGAAACAACCAAACAAAACAAATGAATTTACCACATCGCGCAACTATCCAATCGAGCAACAACTGAAAGCGATACTAAAATACGTGTTCCTTTGTGTTTCATGAATAATTCTTGTGATGAACGTTGAAGTGATTGATCACGAGGTTCGATCAGATTATAATATTGTTTGTCGCTACTACCAATGCTATTCATTTCGATTCGATAGATCAGTAGACACTTCTTCGAAGTCTTCAATTCATTCACTTTATTAATTCATTTCTTATTCTATATCTTCTTCCATTTTTCACATTCATTAATCATATTCTATAAACGTATTTTATCCAATCTAATCATTAATTAGTAATCAGTAAAGTTAATGTATTAGCATTCAACTCGCTTTAAACCAAAACCTTATTAAAGTGACATTTAACTGGAATTGTTATAATCAATCATTTACTTAACTCAACTCAATAATAAATGTCAATAATAATAACAACAATAATAAACATTACCGTAACGCAAATAGATGACGAATCATACCGCCAATAAAGTAAACGGTATTCTCCCTTTTCATTTACATCTTCACTTGACCTAGCATATGTACAAAGTAACAACTGTGGCTGAATTGGACAACGATTAATTCATACAACAATATTAAAAGCAATAAGTTTACGAAAATGAGATATATTCAAACGGATATCAATAACAAGAGTAAATTTTGCTCAAGAGTGGTATGCACAAAAATGCTCATTAATATTCTATTGGCTCGATGAATTACTTAAATTAGAATAATTCTTACGTTTGCGAGACAGAAATAAATACGAGATGAAGTGACAGATGCGTATATTGTACGATCTTTGTTAGCAACAACACAATAAATTACTTCACTGCCATTATCGCTTGATGACGACTGACTCGGTAAACGGATTAATGTTTCACTTCGATCCTGAAAGGTAATCAAAATTTATGTCATAAACGAGTATCGTAAATTTATTTTCTTTTTGTGAACTTATTAAAGGATTCGTTTTTCCATTTGTGTTCTGTTACCGTACGAATGTAACGATCATAAAATGAGTCTCACTCCAACAGAATTTCATTCCATTAAAATTCCTCACATTTCATCCTAACAAAATGAAACTAAAAATGAAGAACTAACCGGAAGGAACATTTTATCACGCAAATATTGTATAAAACAATACCACTTTACAATCAATACATCGGTCAATTATTCCAGCCAATACGATCACTTGCTTCAATAAAACAATTATATTCCTGCAAATGCAACAACATCTGCAAATTACGTACACTCTTCTGAACGTCTGAACGGATGGAAAATTAAATTTGTATCACATATGGAGAATTACTAAACAATCAAAGAATGTGGTTACTAAACAATGCAAAGTCAATTTGTGATGGAACGCTTTGCTCCGCCTTAAAACAGACTGTGTTAGAACGACGATTTGCAACACAACCATATGAACCATATGAATTTTAAAAACAGATGATGAGAAGTGTGGCTGGCTTCCGATGACACGTTCGGCCATCCAGCGGTGTTAATCTGTAGACGTGAAAGTTTCCAGACCAGAGCGAAAAGTTTATGAATACATGAAACAAGTGCATGATTCTAATGAATGAATAATGAGCAGAAATACTCCATCTATCTGAAATACGCAACTGTCATTCAAGATTTGTATGAAATGTGAGTTAATG